AACAGAATTCCTTTGTAATCGATTTAAGTGGTGTCGAGAGGAACTCGTCTAGATTCTGAAGGCCTACTTCCAAATGTCACACCCTGCAACAAATTGAACATAGGCATTGAGTTGCCTCAGCAGCAACTATCCTTCACAACCCATAACTTTAACAGCTGCTATTTCCCATGTTTCACAACATGCACTTGGTCCCTTGGCTAGAAAGATTTTAGTGACGAGTACTAAGTCCCATTGATGTTGTTTTAACATGTTTTGGCTAAAGCAACCATTAAAAAACGTAATAATAATTTATGAACCATGCTGATGCTAAGGAACTTTAAAATGAGGCTTCAGGGAAAGGATGATCTCTCATATCCCCTATGGAATTACTCTCATGGCAAATTACTTGATTTCTTGGCTGAGAGGCAAACTGTAATTCATGGTCTACCCTTTCTGAAAACAAGCGTTGATGATCAGGAATATGCCCATCTCAGATTTTGTGAGACCACTTAAAATTTGAAGAGGCTCACCCAAGCAGTCTAGGGCTTGTAAAGGATCTTGTCTTTACAGCTCATTGGATGCTAGAGTGGAAAGTCAGAGGTTAACGAGTCGGGTCCCCCCCTGAATTCAAAGCAAGCTTCAAGCTCCCAGGCTGACAAACGCAGGTGCAGGAATCAGTTGGGAACCAAAGCTCAGATGCTTGAGCAACCACAGGTGAAGTTATGACTGTCAACCCTGGAGCAGCAGTTAATTCTGGAATAGTCAGGGTCTTTTTAATAACCAAGTCATTGTCTTTCTCCTTTTTAAGTTGTTTTTCAAGCTGATGAAGAGATGATCTCAATCTGGAACTACAGCTTTCCACATCAGGTAAAACCTTTTTGAGATAGAGAAATACCCTCAGCGTCCCAATCTACCATAAGAAAAGTACCCTAGTTTTGCGTTTTTCTTCTTCTTCTTATCCCTTTTTGCAGGCTCTGTGATGGGCTGTTTTTTCATCCTATCATGGACTGATGTTTGCTGATTGATCCATTTTATCGATAATACCTTTTTAGCCTACGTTCCCTTACAGGTGATATCTTCTTGTGTTTGAAAATTCAGTTGATCCTGGACAAGGCAAGCTTAGCTTTGGCCTGCAGTCCAGTCTTAACTAAGCAAATTCCTCTTTGACACTGCGTTATCTGCAAGCTATAGCTACCTCATTCAGTTCAGTCGAACTCTTCCTCTATTATTTTCTTGACTTTGTCCTTATTACTACATGTTCTTCCTCAAGAGTTCATTTTACGCAGATAATTAAATTCCAGTTGACAATTTCTACAATCAGTTACACTAAAATATGACAGCATACCCTTTAGAAAGTAGATAGTTGCCCCCTGGCACTACAGGTGAAGTTGAGAAAATACCATCTAGTTTAGACAGGGGCTCAATCACTTTGATAGAGAACAGTGACTCTCACCTGAGGAGCACGCCTTAAGCAGCAGGTACAGCCTAACTTTGCATCGCTTTCACCTACAAGCGGACCACACTCTGTGCAGTCTGCCATCAGGTTGTTAGCACTCTGATGGTGCTAACAACCTCAACAGTTTCTGTCAGGAATCTGTTGTGTATCTCTGCTAAATGCAGTTATAATAAGGAGGATAATGTGTCAGTTTGCCAGCCTGAGAACAACATCACAACTGTGTGTACTCACTTTAAAAGGCCTTTTTGTTTTATTTATTAGAAGTCCACAGCACTTCAGGGATTGACATGACCAAAGCTGTTAAAGGATACAATGGCTATCTTTTTTTTTTAAATAATAGTATTTTTTTTCTAAATATTCAAATATTATTCTAGAAATTCATCTTAAAACTCAGTAGCAGCTTCCACCACAGAGACTGCAGTGATTGTGTGCAATCTGGTGGGAAACTGACTGGATGCATTTACTAAAGGAAAAAGATTAGATAAGATGATTCCTCCAGAGAAGATTTTTTATTTCAGTTATTTGTTAAAAATATGGTGCCCTTTATTTTTCTCCTTGATCTTTAAAGCATTTTCTTTACATTTATTTTGGTTGAATTACTTGTCTTTAATTTATAAATGTCTGGAAATTCTTATGATTTTGATTAATAAGGTAACCAAGACCAAAAACGAAATACAAACGGTTCTTGCTATATGCACAAAACAAACATCAGAATGTGTGTAGCTTTCTGTGTAATTCTAAGGTTTTTCCATACAGTCCTCCACTTTTTCTGATTGGAGGTTATATATCTCTCACCTCCTTAAAGAGGTGTGAGGTTTGGTCTGGATTTACGCTTTAGTGGAAAGTACTCCTGTCTAGGCTTGTGGTCTGTTTTTATACAGCTCCCTTTCATGATGTAAATTCCCTTTGTGAATGAGTCATGTACCTTGTTCCTCCCAGAGGAATGAAACAGAAGGGACGTAGGTGCCATTAATTTTGCTCCCAGGCGGCTGACCTTAGAAACAAAAGACCAGTCTGAGTAATAACCAAATAAATTCTCACTTTAAATGAATGAACTAATGGAAATGTAGATGCATTTTACCCTCTTACGGCACAGGTTTGATATTCTCCATTCATACTGCCTACAATATATCCTTATATTTTTTTACGTTTTCTTGCAATTAGTTGTTTGTTATTATACGTTTTTTAAATATTAAATTCCCTGAAATGTTCTGAGCAGTCTTTCCCTTCTCCTTGCAGGATAAATATCTGTCTTTCTTTTTTTATATACACAACCGTTGGTAAAGTATGTTTTATAAGACCACATATGTTAGTATAAATGAGGGGAACGGCTATCATTTATTCTATAGAATATTTTTAAATCACTTTTTTTTTAAGTGGTCATTTTTTAAAAACAAATTTAAACCAGGTGAGGCTAAAAGTACACAACTTGAGCACTTCTGGGTAGATCATATTTACAGACAAAATAAAATTTCTCATCTTACATTGAAAATGTTCATATTCTTTTTTTACAGTTTTGGCTTAATAATTGCTTTGTGTAAGACTTTCTTTTAGCAAATCACATCTATCGCTCCATCTATCTATTCACTTTAATTATTGTTATTTCAAAAAGTCTTTAGTTATAATCAACCCAATAAAATTTTCAGCCATATTATAAATGCTTTAAGGCACTTGTGTTTGGCACCAGTATGCTGTTCATAGCATAGTAAAACTAACGACCCTCATTACTATTACAAACCATTAGCCCACAATACTCTTCATATTAGAGTAGGCCAGGTGTAAAAATGTCGGTCCTCATTAATTGAATAGTTATATTTCTCCTAAAATGGGTAAATGCTTTATTCAAAAGCAATCAAAGTCTGTCACTGGAATACAAAGGAATATTTGTCAGTGTTGCTCATATGGAACCAAAACATGACATCTAATCAAGCTTTGGGTTAAGCATGACCTAGTAAGTGCCCTGTGCTTGAGTGCTGCTTGGTCACATTTCTCCTGCAATTACTGACTTAGCTGGCAGGTTGTATAAGATTAATGATAGATGATTGCTTATAAATAATTGATGTTTGAAAGGGAGACAAGGGCAAAAAAAGCAATATGAACAATATAATGTTAACTTGCCTTGGTGATAATCACCGATTCTGTCAGAAGACAGAGATTTCATATTTAAATCTTACCTAGAATCTTTTTATTTATCTGAATTTTCTAGCATGTAAAGGCCTCTAACCCGACTCCTTCGTGTTAAGTGCTCCTTCAAGATCTCAGGGTTCTCTTTAGGTAGCTGAATTACTCATTTGTGCGATGTTATTGCAATTAGATGTTTTGAATGCTTGCATTGCCATATCTTACCTGGATGCATACCTGCAATTCTACCTCCTCATTATGAGTTAGACAAGTAAACAACAGCGGCAGATGCTGCGACAAAATTGAAATGCCTGGGGAGATGTATTTACACACATAAATACACAACCTGAATTCCATTAATGTTCGCAAAGCTCACAAATGACTGGTTATGGATACAATCTCTGTATTTGACTTGAGGCTTAACTGTTTCAGTCAGATGGTAAAATTGGTTTGCACACACATTTCAAAGAATTGCCATTTTAATGACTTATACAATTAAATATACTGATGTTTAAAGGTTTCCCCAGATTTCTGCATAAATATCACCTAAAGCCTTATTAGAATATTCCAACCTTTAACAGGATGAAAACACACAGTATTTAGTCAAAATACAGTGTATTTTACTTTTTAGCCAACCTGGCCATTTGCAAAAAAATATATAGAACTGCTGTTTTTCTTCAATTCTTAATTAACTGTTATTACTAAGAATTTTTTAGTCACAATTAAGAGTGATCGGTGTCTGGCATGAAGAATCGAGAAATCACATTGACAAGAGGTAGGCTTGATGATCTTAGAAAGCAATTTAAGATAAAACGAATTGACTGAGAAAGAAATGAGTTTGTTGTCTGTGATGTAAAAGACTTACTACTGTCATGATGTTAAAAAGTTCTGACCCAAAAATGCAGAAAACCGAACAGAAAGACCAGGTAAAAGGTTTACCAGGTTTTATTGAAGAAGTAAACAGTTGCTCAGAACACTGCTACACCAGAACTGCAAAGTTAGGGGAAGACACAGCGGTTAGTTCAGGCTCAGTGGGAAACCTGACTCGTGAAACTTGGAGAAGAGGTTTCGGTTGCCGACTCACGTTTCGAGTGAAGTTGTTGTGTCCTTGACTCCATGTGCTGTATTTCCAGTGTCTGTCTGATTCGGTGGAGGGTGGAACAGGTTTTACCCAGAATGCGGTTGATTGTTGGATAACGGAGATACTGACTGCCACCCAGATTTCCTGCGGTACTTGAACGGGTCGTTGTGGAGATTAATCCTTTTCTCAGTGAAAGCTCAAACGATCTCTTGGGGAAAGTGGATCCAAACCTCCTGTTTGTATCCCAGCTCAGTTTGAAGCTCAGTTTATCCTTCCAGGGTGTGAAGGTCCGAGAGATCCAGTTAGCAGGACAACTTCCCTAAACTGGCAAACACTCTGGCGTCGAAGTAGTGGCAGTCAGCAGCTTAAGAACACTCCGTTTAATGAGGAAACCATCCACAGGTGTGTGAGGAGGCGGACCAGAACCAGGCGCCTCCTGGTGGATGAAGAGAGACAAACAGAAAACACAGACACAAAACAGGAGTCCTGACAACTACTAGTTAACTCACTTGCCACATGGTGGCTGTTGTTACCAAATTTGCATATGTAATTATATATGTACTAAAGAAATTCACCTTTAAACTCTTTAGAAGTTTTTCTGGGCTCTTCTGTTATCAATCATATTACCCATACTCTTGGATTTGTCATCCCATTTCTTCATGCGGTCACAGTCTGTGGATCTTAAATCTCTTAATGATATGTTAAACTGCTGTCACAGGAACATCGAGCTGCTTGGAGATGGTCTTTTAGCATTTATCTTTAGCATGGTTTTCTGTAATTTTCTTTCTAATCTCCTGAGATAACTTTTCCCTTTGCTTCTGCTGGTCCATGTTGAGTGTGGTACACACCAGGTCACCAAACAGCTCAGTGACTACCTGTAGCCCTGTATATGGGCCCACTGATTGATTACATGACTCTAGACACCTGAGATGCCAATTAGTGGACAGAACTTGATTTAACAAATTCTTTTGACTAAATTATTTGCAGTCTTTTCTAGTAGTACCATCACTTTTTTTATAGCACAA